GCGCCATCGGAAAAGTTTCGGCGAACGATTTAGAGCAAATAAGGCCAGTCCGCTTATTGGAACGAAAGACGAACAAAAAATTATTACGCAAGAGAGCGCCGACCGGCAAGGTGACCCGCCATTGTCCCTATCGCATAGGGACAATGGCGGACCGTGCATGTACGCTCTTGCGTTTTTTATCGGCTTGGCCACAACTATAGGTTCTATCTTTATCTCTTGCCCTCTTTCTCCTTGTATCAATTCTAAAAGGTAATAATAATAAAAAGACTATATAAAAATGGCGCAAAACTAAAACCTTGTGGAACCCCCTTAAAATGTTATGAAGAATCTAGTTAAAATTGCTTAGAACGGTATAAAGTGAAATTCCTTCATGAGAGCTTTAGCAGTAAAAAAGTTTGGGTCGACTGAAGATTTAAAAGCAATTATAGCTATAATATATTATTCGATGCGTTGACCAGTTCATGTCAGTAATGCGATGTTACGAAAAGTTATTTTCTTTTTCCTACACTTGTTCAACATTCACATCGGTAACTAATTAGCATAAGATTCCACACATGTCTCCAACCGGCGTCTCCTAATTAAGAAGCGCCCCAAAGCGCTAAATTGTCTTGGACTTAGTTGCAGCCTGTAAGCCCGTAAGTTGTTATATTTGCATGCCATGCATGAAAATAAACTTGCTAGTAATTTTTGATGATTTGTAAAATTTTATCCGCCTGGAATATGCGGAAAAATAAGCAGTGGCACTTTACTATCTACCCTCTGTACAGAGGAGGCCTTTGCCCAGCAGTGGGATATGTATAGGCTGATACTTTACTATACTTTACTTTACTATCTACCCGACTGTGCTAAAGCCTAAAAAGAAGAGTGATGTGTTTCACTTGTATTGTCCTTCATTGTTCCCTCGTAACGACTTTTTTTTAAACATGGCCGATTTTTGGAGCTAAACTTTATATTAAAAAATAGATCGTACCAAAGTCGCCAATATAGTTTATTATCATTGATTTGTTTTGATACATAACATTTAACAGGACTGCGGGGTCTGTTGTTGACATTGCACACTGTTGTTTTGAAAAGTTGCGTAACCAAAACTTACTGGTATCTACTACGCAGTGCGCGTAAGGATTTCCGTGTAATTTATGCGCCTTAAAAACCGCTTCGTATCATAACAGGAAAGGTCTTGGTTGTTCAATACGTATTTTTTAATCGGGTGATGTTACCGATATAGTTAAAATGACTTGATTAAAATGACATATTATGATGAGACATATTACGGGCTGATATTATTTCGTTTTAATAAACTTCTTTTAAGTCGTCATCGATGCGGTTAGTATATTAAATTTATATATATAAACAACGTTACCATATCATTATAATCAAATTAACGCTTAATTAGCAAACCTAATCACTTCAATTAACCTCAGTGCGCCAAAAACATTGACATTTTAACTAAACGAAGTTTATAGTAGTGATAATTATTTTTTTCTCTTCCGCATTACGTGATTGCTGTCATACATTTATTCTTTCTAATTATCTGAGAGTTAACGCTGTTCATGTTATTATTTTTATTTTATTAGAAAAGAGCCTTATCGTTAAGCGATAACATCGCCCAGTAAGGTTAACCAAAAATAATATAATACACCAATACAACATTGCTTAACATCTATTACAAAATCAAGATTTTCTTAAACTAAATTCGGCAATCATGGTCAGTATCCAAGCCTGATCTGATATCGGAAAGGTCCAATTATTTGAAATGGAACATAAGTAATGCATATCAGTTTAATGAAATTTCTGTGTACGTCTGTAAATTAATATAATCATAGATAAGTTAACATGAGCATAAAGTTGACGTACAAAGTTTTGCATACTCGATCAGAGTGTTTGGTATAAATTTTGAATTTTCGTAAGCCGACTATGGGACGAAGTGGTTAACCGTTCAGATTTAGGATGTTAGCTTTCTGTGTGTGCATTCTCTAAATAAAGTTGAGCGAAATGGAGCAGGATTATGTAGTGTTGGCAGCATATGATGGTGGATTATAACATTAGTATGTAGAAGGTAACGCACGAATGATCTGGGAAGTACCACCACCTCACTATACACACGAAGCGGAAGTGTTATACTTCCGGGTTTCATCTGGTGAGCGACGTAACCGGGGCGAACTTAATTAAAAGGTGGCAACGAATTACCGGGGTGAACTTAATTGAATGGTGGCAACGCATTTGCAACCCTATGGGCGTTGCAAATGTCCATGGGGGTGATAAACAATCACGTAACATCAGGTGAAACGCCAGCTCGCTCGCCACCATTTTACATAAAAAACTGACCACGCGATTTCCTCTCACGCGGCCGAGACTCGAGAATATTCTTCACCACGTGACACTTCAGGACATTGTAACACAAATATATACGGACACGTGTACGGTGCCAAAGTTATGGTAAGCTCCGTGTTCACGTGTCACGGTTCGATATTTATGTATACAAAAACGGGCGCGTGTCTGTTTGGCCGTCCGCACGTGCCCCCCGCGCGGTCTTCAGTGTATCAGTGGAGGCGGAAAAACGGGTATAGAACTAGTCACGTTCCTATTGTTATTTATAGAAGTCTGCAGATCGGGCTTATTTCATATTTATCGGCCGATGAATGTAATGATTTCTTTTAAAGTTCTCCCCCGCGGCGTTGGATTAGCTTATTCCGTGACGCAAAGGATTTATGCACATGTGACGTTCACTGACGCCTCCAAAATGTTCACGAGTGAAATGCTGAATGTCTACACGGCTTCTGTTGCCCGAATGGCAAACACGTCCGAGGAAGAACCACATAGTCGTGGAAGAACGACGTGTTGCAGGCAGTCGCGTTCCCTCTATTGAGTAAAATGTAATAATTGCTGTAGATGTCCATTGACCGTCATCTTCGCCGGTTCACCGTGATGTTAAGTGGCCGCCGCCGTAGGCCTTAACACCAGGTGAACCGTCATCGACCGTCTCGCTTGCCAACTCAGCACATAAAGACCTTTCCTGTTCAAGGTCGAAACTTTTCAATTATCGGGCTTTATAATCAGTAAAGACCGCAGCGAGAAAATTATTCTATAACGATGAGACGGAATAGAAATCCTTACAATGAAGTTATACGATATCGATCATCCGCTCAGTGGATAACAAACAAAGCGCGAATGAAACCTGTTAGAGCGCGCCGGCAGTTTTCGCTGCCCTTAGTAAACCTTCTAAGGGCCCAAGGTCCACGGGTCACCTTCGGGTCAACGACCCCTTGCGTAAGTGTTGCGTCACGCCGCAGAAATGCACGCCGATCCTGCCCTTTCGACAAGACATCCGCCCTCCCTTTCTTACACACGCGCAGCATGCGCGCGCGACAGGGACGGCGGCGAATCCTTACGTCACCCCACCTAGCGATAGTTTGATCGTTTTTGTTTCATTGCATCTGCAATTAAAATGCACGCCGTCCGAGTGTGATTTTGCTTCGTTCGTTGTATTTAACCCTTGTGGTGGAATTTTCCAGGATTTTAGTGGAACAAGGAATTTTCAAATACTATTGATGTTTTCAAGTCCGACATTTTAGAAACAGAAATTTTCGATTTGCACAACAAGCGGCCAAATAAAGCAAACTACAATTGTTTTCATTGCATCGTTCGAAGAATATGAAAGTGAACTAACGCAAAAGTAAACTAATTTACGATTAATTTATGTTATATTTTTATAATATTTGTATTTTTACGAAAAGCAGACGGGGGCAGACAGATATTTACACACAATTAGTTTAAATTTCCTAAGTCAGTCGATCGTAGTTGAAGGATAACTATGAATTGTAACCACGCTCATTAGTACTCCGTGTATGCTTGATTTGAAGGAAAAAAAATGTTATTTGTTTACGTTATAAAGTTTTAATTAAAGAATTTACATAAGACTCTCCTAATTTTTTAGAAGCAAGAAACCACCATTTTGGAAAACACAATTCTGTGAAAATTTACAGCATGTTAGTTTTTAGCTATAACAACGAAATATCAAAAGCCAGAAAAGCTAGGCTATTATATATCTTCAATAATAATTCTGCGAATATTATCGATGCAGTGGCGACATCTCTAGTTCGAAATTCTTTGTACGCTGGTAAGGATATAACAATGGATACGCCAAGCATTGCTACAAATTCTTTAAATCAATGTAGATAAAAGACGTTAAGATTTTCGTCAGTGTGGAAATTAGCCGTTTAGCTTAGTGGCTAAAGCGTCAGGGCGCGAATCGCGAAGACGTGGGTTCGATTCCCACAGCGCACATTCGCACTTTTTACTACAAATTTTAATATCATCGTTGTCTATTTTTTTTTCTATTCAGCCATCATAAATTGTACGGTAGTTCGGATTACCTATATGACGTATAAAATTAAAATGCATCTATGCGATTGCACGTCGTTTTATAGCAGTGGGGTCGCGTGGTGACTATGCCTAATATCCTCTGAACAGAATAGGCCTTTGCCCAGCCGTGGGACACTTATAGGCTGTTACTTTACTGTACTTATTATACAACATAATGCGGCAATCTAATTGCATAACGAATTTAGATAACAATGTGGAATTTATTCTTGTTTGTCAAGACAATCCCCGTTTAATGTCCTGCTAGGAATAACGAGGTTGCAAATACTTAGAGCGGTTTGACACACTACAGACATAGGAATGCGGTTCAAAGTTGTAAAAACGGATACAAACCGATATTTGGAATAAATGAAGGCACTTTTATGCTGTGACATTCTTTGTTGCATATTCTACATCAGATTATGGTCTATAGTTACGCTAGACTACAACACCTGTTACGACTAGGCTTTTTTTTGCTTGTACAGACTAGTTGAAAAACGAGTACCAATTGACGATTGTACGTGGTCACCGCCGCTCATAGACAACAGTCTGTCGAATAAAGCTGATTGAACTGACTTTTAGCATTGTCAAAACGAATATTTTGTATTTCTTAGTCGTTCGGTGTATACTAAAAGAGCTTAGTCGCTGCCGTTAAAACCCTTCAGCGGTGGCGCGAAAATATCCCAAGTGCGGACTAAATCGGCATCGGCGATTGTACAGACGCGCACCACCCTGTTCCCGTCGAGGGCGTCTGTGTGCGCGTGCACGTGTGTGCGTGCGCGTCGCTGTGTGCATCGCGACGCGACCTTGGTCGCCGGGGTCGCCGCCCAGTCGCAACCAAGGGCGCAGCACTGCATACACCGCAATAGGGTTGGGCCGCGTCGATTGCAGGCTATCGATAAGTTTCACCGATACTTAAGTAATGGATATAAAAGCAAGGTGTAAATAACATTACCACCAACAAAAAGTAGTTGATTAACGTGTCGGGTGAATAGTAATCAATAACTTCGCGGTGATGACAATAATCAAAATTGTATCAAAAAAATAAATAATATTGGGAATAAAAATCGGCAACATCGATGTATTAGCAATCAATAGCCAAAGTAGGAGGCGTTGTCTGAATTGAAGCAATCAAAGGGCCCGTGCCCATAACATTAGTATTATTAATACAGGTGATACTGTGGAAACGTATAAATTCTTGATTTAATAGACACGTGTGAAACATCGATATTGCAATTCGCCAATTACAACCATTACTATCGACGGAATGTTGAATACAAGGAAGAATATAAAAATAACTATTATTACGAGTTCATTCGCCTGAGACATACCTACCTCAAATTAAATGTGGACGAGTCGCAGCCAATCGATCGATATTGAAACTCAACTGGTATAGAAAATTATTTATCTTTAATTAATTACAACAGGCTGTTTCCCAGTTTTTAATGCTATTATATATCCAGGACAATGGATCATTGTGATCCATTTTCCTGGAGTATCGATAATTAGCAAATACATTTTACGAAATCTCGATAAAGGGAGCGCATCACTTTAAGTGTGGGAAGTATAAGCAGAGTCGATCGGTTATGGCTAACGGTTAGACAATGCTATCGCGACAATATTGATTACCAAATAAAGTCGACAACGAAATTCCTACATCTTTATGTATACCGTATAAACGACAGATTGTTAATTCGTCATACATAAAGATCGTTTGTTCGAATATAGATGCGTAACGACGTAAACAGATTTGCATAAAAATGTTCCTCGCTATTAAATATCGGCGATGTTCGTATTCGCCTTTTACTCGCCGGTTTATTCGAGTGGTACTTTTCGAATAAATAGTTGTAGAGTAAAATATTATATATGTTATTGTTATGTAACGTGTAAGCTACCTGAACTTCTTATTTCATTTAAATCCCTTTAGCCGTCTAGAATTACTGAAATGGGCATAAAATGTCATTACATATATGACTTTAAATTTCTGTATCAATGTATTGATTTAAAACTTTTTAGATATTTAGATACTAGCCATCGCCCGCGCGGTAAAGGGAATTAACAATAAGTTTTTTTTTATTTTACACCATATATATCACGCAGATGGCTGAATTTTTTCCTATTAAATGACACTTATCATTACCTTTATTTTGGACAATTCACACAATATTTTTATAAATTATAGCCTATGTGTTATTCTGATGTATAAGCTATATTATTGTAAAGTTTCATTAAAATCTATTTAGTACTATTTGCTTGACATACAAACCTTCACGTTTATAACATTATATATATACATTATATTATATTATTATTACTAAGGAATAAGAAATTAGTAAGGATTAGTAAGGATGTAGATATTTCATGGTAGATTCGATAGCGCCGTCGCTAGGCTATTCGGCTTCGGCGATTGTCGCTCACAGATAATTGTTCCGGATCTGGGTACTTGTTAGGTTGTTAGGAAATGTTAATTAAGTTATAATCAATGAAAACCACTTTTTTATAACCACCCAGAAATCCGTCATTACTGTGCGTCCATTATTCATTCCCTTAAACTATTATTTTAAGTAAAAACTTACGTACACTTTTTACGTTTTAGATATATAGTTTTTTTGAACATGTAAGAATTTTTTTACTTATAACTTAATGCGAATATAAGTTCAAAATGAATTCGGATGGTTAGGTTAAAGTGTGTGAATTCGTAGGTTCTTTTTTTATATACCCATGTAGTGTAACAGTACTTTTAGTATTTTTAAAGACACTTTTTTAATAATGGCGGATTTATTTATTCGTAAATTTAAAATAACAAAATGGCGGATTTATTTTTAAAGTTTTAAATTTTTTTTATTAAAAGTAAGTGTTTGCCTCGGTTTTCATGTATGTAATATTTAATTATTAACATTTCTCTATCGATTAAAATTTTTTTCTAGCTTGAAAAACGAGACGTACTGTTCGGAATTTTTACCGCTATAAGTCCACCGAAAGGAGAAAGAAAGATGTTTTGTTGATTAAATTGACTGTGGCTGGGACGTCGTCGTGGGATTTTTACTGAATCAATTTTTTTAGCACCTTACGGTATCTGGTTCCATCTACTTCTTCACCTTGTGTCTAGAAAAAACCTGGTTCCGTCTATAGGTTTCAAATAATTTAAGAGCTTTTTTATTAACAAATACACCTCGGAAATATATCTATATTTTCATCTGATACCAAAACTTTGTGCGTTGTTGTTACTGTCTGTGTTTGTGTTGATACTTGGAGATAAGTTTACGGGCTTGCTTCCTGGCCTTCCCGTTTAGGTTAATGGTGTGAGGTTCTATTTGCTAGTACTGAGCAATTAGTTAATAACAGAAGACAATCGCTCCCATGTTTATCTATTTAGTCTCAATTATTTCGTTGTCCGTAAGTACAACAATTGAAGACTCTCAGTTTTGTGGTCAGGGAGACGCATTGTGACTGTGTTTTGTGTCTCAATGACTAAAACAGACACTAAAGCAGGGAGGACAATAAGATTATAATAGGCAGAGTTTACTAATTCTGACTATAATTGTCTCAAATTCTTCGGTGTAACATGTCGCATAACTTGTCAAGTTTTGGCACTCATTAAGACCAGTTAAAACTTTGGTAGCAAACTCATCAACATTCATACTGTATCTCGTTAGGGGTGAATAACGTAAGCTTGTTTTTATAAAAGTCTTGCAATGCAGCCGGCACTATGCTGAGGTCGCTACTCTTCTTAATATTTAATCGAACGTCCGATCGGCGACAAATTGCGCGATTTGAATGCAATTAATTTTTAAATGTCACAAAAACATTGCGAGTCTTTATACGCTCCGGAGCAGATGTGTACGTCTACGCGACGAATATATCCCTTAGTTTATAAATCATCAAAAGTGAAAAAGAAAAGTGAAGTAACAGTCTTTATAAAATTTTGTGTCATAAGAATGAAATAGAAAACATACAATAGTGGAACCATCGCTCTACTGTATGTTTGTGTAATTGTCTTCCTGTCTTTCTTTAATAAATCAACTTAAACTCAAATTTTAGCTTTCAGTTTCGTAATCTTGTGAAGTTTTTATTTTTTTATCATCATCATCATTATTTCGACCTGTTTGAGTCCAATACTGAACATAGGCCTCTCCCACAGACTGCCATGATGCGCGATCCTGAGCCACCTGCATTCCCATGGACTGCCCGCACAGGTCGTCACTCCATTTAGTAGGGGGTCATCTTGCACTGCAATGGCCAGTATGAGGCTGCCACTCAAGAACCTTTCTTCCATCTTCGGCTATCGGTTCTACGAGCTATACGTTCTGGTTCCGTTGTTCTACTGCGGATATCTTTATTTCGAACTCCATTACAGAGAAATTTCAAGCTATCTGATAGCTAGCATACAAAAAAATCGATCGAGCGGAAGTTGGTCGTGCCGGGAAATTTTAATATAGCTGTAGCCAGGTGTCGAACGAGCACCGTGTGAATAAAATCCCCGATTAGATCACCGCGCGAAAATGCATTTCTTTGAAGCGCAAGATATGTCTATTATCAACGTGTAGTAATTTTATTGTAACCACCGACTGACGATAAAGATAAGCGGTATTTACCCTTTACTCTATTAAATCTATTGAACAATCTTGTCCATCGTTTAGATCGTATACCAGCGTAACAAGACCGACATACGCCAGGTGGTGGAGGCAGAATTTTATGTTAGTAGGATTACGGGCTAACAGTAGTTTGAGTCTGACAGGTGTCTGTGAGGATACCGGTTCCCAAGTAATAGTATAATCTACTGAATTAAGCCACCGTGAATTCGATTTAGTACTTTATGTCGTAGTATTAAGCCACACATTCGCGTGTACCAAACTTCATGTGGTCACGGCATAATTGCTTTTGTTTTAATTATTTTGTCGACGGGACCGCTATAATTATTGCGCTGCATTTCTTTAAATTAATTAAATTAAAAAAAAAAAAAACGGCGGGCGCGTCGTATCGGTAATGTTACGTTCGTTATGTGAGGGAATGTATACTAAAAAAGAAGAAAATAGTCCTTAACTTGTAACTGTAGATACACACTCAAGGGATAAGAAATATAACAAAGTCAAACAAAGCTTTTTTCAAAAAGTATTTTTAAAGTGGAGGCGACATTCCAGATGAATTTCTTATAATAATTCTAGTCAACTTATAGCCATTGCAGATATGATGATTTAACCTATTTTTGTACGTCGAAAAAACCTTTATGCTTATAGCTTACCGATAGTTTGGCTGCGGGAAATAGAAGTCCCGGTTAGAACGGGTTACCACTAAAAAACTCGTTGCTCCTGTCTATGTCGCATTGGCAGGGCAATGTTCCGCGTCCGCCGTTCCTATGGCGTCCTCAGACCTCTCCCCAGGTGCTAGGACTACAATTGCGGCGATAGGGTGCTGTGCAATTATCACAGCACACCCTCACAAGTTCACAGGATCTGACTAAATAAATATAACCGGATGTTCCTTCCTTTGTAAACCGGATATCATTTAGAAATAAGAAATTTAAAAATCATGTAAAACACTACTAAATGATGTTAGATTTTGAACGATAAATAGGTAAATGATCGTGTTGGTATCATACCGGCGATATAAACTCGTGGATCCAAATAATGAAATTCATGTTGACCGTTAAATCCCGAGAACGATATGAATAAAGAAGATCGCTAAACCAGCTATTAAAGCAGGTATTCAACTAATGTTATAACAAGGTCACAACCTGATGTTCATGACCTGCCACTCCCTAGCCCCCTTCATCGCCTGATAAAACATGTTGATGCTAGTGATTAAAGCAGAAGCTTGGTAAAGTCAAGAGGGTCAAAAGGGGACTCTGAGTTCACGG